GTATATATATAACCTAGAGCTAAGGTTAATAATATTACAAAAATAAATATTCCTTCCGGGTTGAACCGCGTAAATTTCATTGCGCCGAGCTTTCGACACCTTCCCTGATGTTTTCTTTAGGGCTTGCGAGGTCTCAGTCTCCTGAGCCCCCAGACATTACTACACTGATCACAAATCAAAGCATTACTGGTGCTGGGAATAGAATACGGGTCATTTGTACGGTCCATGATGACGTGGCTTGGGTGGAGGTTGGCATGTGGTCAGCGTGGGGACTGTCTTGGGGATTGACGCGGGGATTGGCGCGGGAATTGGTGAGAATATTTCTGACGTGGAGTTTTGATTCGCGGATGGAGCGGACGATATTTTTTTTATGAGAGGTCTCTATGTCGTAGGTAACCTTACCTATGTCTTAAGTTCTTTTATAGTAGACAATTTGACCTTTTTTCAATTTATATGGCTTTTCGAATAATTCTTAGTTTATAAAAGCGAATAAGGACTATGTTTCTGAAGTTTTCAAAACCAACTTTGTCACCTGTATGAAGGTGGTGTTGACCTAGTGCTGAAATTAAGTCGACATGGCCAACAGAAATGTAACGTTCGTAAATTATTTTTTGGATTCTACGATTTGTTTGGCCTATATAGGATCTTGGGCAGTCTGCACAAGGAATTTCATAAACTCGTGTTGTTCATTTAGAATGTTGTCTTTGATTAATCGGACAAGAGATGCAAGTTTTTGTTGGGTGGTAAATTTTGTTTTTGTTCCTTGCCATTTAAGAATTTTGTCGATTTTGTCAATGATACCTTTGATATAAGGAAGAAAAGCTTTCGTATGATCAGGGTCTAAATCGTTGGATTAAGATTGAGTGAGAGATTGATGTCTGTGGATACTCCTATCGTGGGGTGCCAAATGTGTTCTCTTTTGCCACTTGCATATGTTTCTTTTAGTGTCATTTGTATTAGTTTCTTATACAGGGCTAGTCCGTTCCCCCTTCGTATCTTTTGAACGGTTAATGTTATAATAACGAAATTTGGAGAGAGGTAATAAACAGACGTAGGCTTCTCAACTAGTCATAACAAGTGAAGTGACAGATGACGTTACAACGCCTCTGTGACAGATCATTTTAAATAAGACCTTATGACAAGTGATAACTCGTTTAAAAAGTATTAAAAATACCTATTCAGTCATAATAATTTTGTTGGAGTTGAAGCTCATTTTGATGAATCAATTAAATTAATACTAAAATTTTAGCTTCCCATTTAATTAATCGATTGATATAGGGTTGAATTTCTTGTCAATCTACTGATTCTTGTGATACTAATGTTTAGTAGACAAGTAGTCCATTACATTATCGTGGCTGAATGGATTAAGTTATCCAAAGCCATTAATTAAATAAAAAATATAAGGTTGAATGCTCGAATAAATGAACTTTGATCAAATGAAAGGCAGATATCGAGCATAGTTTTATTAATTTAAACTTACCCAAGTACTTTCGCTTCCTAGAGTATCTTCAGGGCATTTCGTCAATTTTGGCTTATCCAACAATTAAAGAATGTTATAAACATAAAATTGTACATTACACTACACTACAGAAGAATAAACACTTTAAAATTTTTAAAATAGACTAAGCTACATTTTGGTCGGCATCAGGAGAGAGAATGATTTACAAATTTAACTCCAAATTTAATATTACTTCTTATTATACCTAAACCCAAGAAATACTAATTTTATATTGTATATATATATATATATATATATATATATATATATATATATAATATATATATATATATATATATATATATATATACATACGCTGCGCTCGAAAATTAACGAATAATTTTAACTTATTTTGAGTTATAATGAAAAAATTTTTGTTTGCTCTTTTCTGCTTTATGGTTGTTTTAGAACAAATAAAAACTTTTCTTGTTTTACGAAAAATGTACTGAAATTAACAATATAACATCATAAATCTAAACATCTAAACAAACAACTGATCTAAATAAACTAACATTATATATTAATTACAAAATTGAAATTTTTAAAGTTGAAAAAAATACTAGTACCGTGTACTAGTATCACGTATTGCCTCCTCTGGCATTTATTACTGCTTGACAACGATCTCTCATACTGATCATACTCATAATAATCGTTCTGATTTCTTCTTGATCAATTTGATCCCAAATTTCAACCAACCGCGAAAACAATTCATCTAATGTGTTTGGTGCATTAGGTAGTTGTCGTAGTTATTTGCCTATGATGTCCCAAATATGTTCTATTGGGTTGAGGTCAAGACTTCTCACAGGCCAATTCGTGGCAGGAATTCCAACCTCCTGAAGATACTGCTGCACAATTCTTGCCGTGTGTGGCCTGGCGTTATCTTGCATAAGCATGAAATTATCGACGAATGGCACGACATGCTCTTCTAAAATGTCTGTTATATACCTCTGCGATGTAAGCCGACCGCGATCTGTTGTAACTAATTCCGTACGAGCCTCTAAATTAATCCCACCTCACACCATTATCGAGCCGCCGCCATACTGTACAGTCACTACGGTGTTACACTTGCGTAGCGTTCCCCAGGCCTTCTATACACTCGATTTTTCCTGTCGTCAGAAAAAACGCAGTACCTGGATTCATTGGTGAACAATATTCTTCCCCAATCGTCATTATTCCAATCAACATGTTCACGAGCAAACTGCAATCTTTGCCTTCTATGGTCTCTGGTCAATAATGAGCCAATTGGTGCTCTTCCAGGGTGTAGGTCGTTTTCGGCAAGTCTTCTTCTAATCATATTTTGGCTGATTCTAATGTTATGACGATCCAAAAATTCATTTTGTAGAGAAGTACTGGTAACAAACCTTTGTCTCAGTGTACAAAGTGTCAAAAACCGGTCTTGATTAGGAGTTGTAACCCTTCTACGGCCTTGACCGGGTCTTCTCGAGTTACTTCCAGCAACAGAAAAACGTGTTAACACTCTTGAAATGGTTGACTGGGTGACGTTAAAATGTTCAGCGAGTTCTACTTAAGTGTATCCTTCTTTGCGAAGAATAATGATTCTAAAACAGTCGCTTTCTGACAAATTTCGATTTTCTTGCTATTGGTGGATCATTTCAAAGAAAAAACACTTAATCAACTTGAAATACTCCTTTAAACGTACAGCACAACGTAATCCAATCCAACTAAATTCGAAATAAAATGAAGCTCAATTAGCATGTTTTTAATTTTTTTGCAAAAAATGGTAAAAACATCAGCGATTTTCTACCGTTCTTTTGATAAATTTTACAATATACTGGGGGTAACAATAATATCGGACTCTAGGTGGAGAAATAAAAGACAAAGTTGATAGGCTACTTTATCTATTTTAAAGACGTTTCGCTTTCGAGTTTTGAAAGCATCATCAGTTTATCTAAAAAAGTACAATATGAGAACCACACAATCATGGAAACGATGTTAATTGTTACCTTAAAAAGACATGTAGCAGTCAATGTTATTAACAATAATGTGAATGAAACTAAGTAGATGGACATAATACGCTGATTTTGTATAAACAATTAAGTAACTAACAACATATATGAACTTATAAAATTAGCACAGCAAATGACCATGTGGTCTAAAGTAAATTAAATGTTATTTAATGTTAATTAGTGAGAAAGAACCAAGAAAATCATAGATAACTTCCAACTATTTTATGATTATTAAGCTTTGATTTTAACTTTAGGTAGCATTATAAGTGATATTAATAAAAATTATAAAAGTAGTGTAAATAAAGTTACCGATCAAAGCCCTACAAGTGCCGCCGGGAAAATGGCGTTAGATGAACCGGAACGAACTAAACCGCGAAAAGACAGCCAACCTTGAGGTCAAAATACTTTTGACAGATCAACAAGGTGGAGGTACCAACCCAAATAATTGGGCGGTCAATTTTAGTTTAAATGAGTTTGGATGACTACTCGGTTGTAAAAGACAAAACAGTGAAAGAAACTGGTAGTGTAATAGCAACTCCTCTCACTAATCAGCCCAGATTTACAAACAGGAGATTTTCATTCAACCTCATATGTATGTAATAACGTTAATCATTATGGCTAGTTAATCAGCCACAGGTGGTTAACGACCCATTAATTTCCAACAGCCCAAGGTTCAATATACTTGGAACTGTGATTTGCAAAGGATTCTATGAATCAATTACAATATTTGTATTATTTAAGTATAAAATTGTTCACACTAATCAAAGTAATCAGTGTATGAAAATGCAATGTAAGTTGCATATGTAATAGTAAATTAAGTAAAGAATATTAAATTATTTTATTTAGTTATTTGATGTATATGTTATGTATTTTATTTCTATTTTATGTATATAAATTATTTGATGAAAAATGGAAAAAGGTTCAAATAGTACACCTAATATGACATTTAATATACGACTAGTACCGGACCAGTACTAATCGAGTAACGACGAGAAGTAGATCCACCAGGCTTGAGAATGGCAAGTGAGACCTTGCCGAAACGTCGCCAAAACAATGGTTTTCAAGAAAACCAGCACTTTACAACGCGGAGTCAAACCCGGAAAAATAGTGACAGCATATATATATATATATATATATATATATATATATATATATATATATATATATATATATATATATATCTTTAAAACTCATTAAATACTAAATTGGTTCCTCTATTATATTCAAAATTTTTTTCTGGAATCTGTTCCAAATTATGTATAGCATTTATATAGCATGTCGATAATACAACTCTAAATCCATTTTGGGAGTTTTTTAAATATTTTTAAGGGTATATTTAGAACCATGTTTAAATGGCATAAATAAATAATATACTGAATGAATACTAATGAATGGTTAATTAGTATATCCTCAGGTATTGAAGTTAAATTAAAAAAATAATATTACGACGTAGTCGACCCTGTGGGGGAACGTGCATTAATGTTAAAGACATGCATAAATATTTAAGAGAATCTCAAGATATTCCGGTTTGAAAACAATTATCCGACGTCCGTCTGTAGTATCCTTTAATTGGATAAACAAACAATAATATCTATCATCAACTTTAACCTCATGCGTTAAATTAAACATCAGTAATATTATGTGATCGCGTTTATTTTATCTTTACGTACTTTCTATAATATCCATTGCACGAATTTTGTATTTCTGATGTTAAAATGTCGGGGTATGCTTTATTAATAAATGTTTTGTTATTGAACTATTTTCTTGTAGTGGAAGTTCATGGTGGTTTTCTGCGATTAAAAAGAGAAGATAATGAAACAGAAAATAATATAATAGAAGTTTTCCATGACTGTAAATGTGTGTATTACTACCAGTGCGATGCAAATAATAGAGTGATTACAAATGGTGAAAATTTAATTGACGTAAGGTAACTGTATTATATTAATTTATTTTAATATCTAGAAAATTACGAAAGGGATTAAAAATGTAATTAAACACGGCGTAGTTTATTTTATGATTTTCTCAGTTAACTTTTGGTGTCATTTTCTAAACGTAAAGTATTTTGAATTATATTTGAATTGAACAGACTACAAGACGACAAGAGGAATAACATATTATTAAAAATAGTACACAAACTGTGTTATACAAACTAAAGGTATTAGCTTACGAAACAAAATTCAACATTACAAAAATGGTCTAATCACAATTTGGTCATGTAAGAATATATTTATATTTATTTTATTATATATATATATTTATTTTCATATATATTAATATGTTATTTGTTCAATACTGATGCTCTCGATTTCCATTTTACACCTTATTAGTTATTTGCTAATTATTGTTTTTTAGTTTTCTGAGTTGAGATGTAGTGTTATATTAAATTATTTTGCTCATATGTTAAATATTTGGACTGGCCTTTGTAGACTATCTATATCTTGGGCTATCATTATTACGTTGTTCACCTAACAGAGTATTTTTACTTATTTGTTTCCCATTCTTTACAGTCTGTATATTCTTCCTTTGTTGACACTTTTGATGATTTCATCCATGATTGAATTAAAAAGCATAGAGCTCAATGAGTTTTATTCCACTGCCTGTGTCTATAGGTATATATCTGTAAGTTGTCCATCTATTCTGACCATATTGTTGTTTTGGTAGATGTTTTTAAAAGTTTTTATGGTATCTAGAGGGACTTTTCTATTATACAGAAGATGTATTACATATTTCAGTCTTACTCTGTTAAATCCTTTCTTCAAGTCAATCAGATACAGAAATACTGGTCCAGAAATACTAGTCCATTGTATTAGATGGGCCGGATATATAATACGAATGCCTGACAACATGATTGAAAAAAATCTAACGATAGGAACACCTATATGAAGAAGAAGCAGAGGTCGACCGCGAATTAGGTTGTTAGATGGAGACCGATTTAGGGATATCAGACACGCTAAAAATGAAAACAATCTCATCTTGCAGTTTATCCTGGAACTGCCAAAGATAAACGCTTCAAGATATTATTAAAAATTGATCTTGTCAAAGGAATCCTTAAAAAGATCCTGCACTGTTTATAACCTGATTATATCCTATACAATACACGACGATTGTATTTACTTAGCACATCAACTCATATGATTTATATTCTTGGTTGTTACAACAGTTTGTGATGGCAACATTTGTGCCATGGCAAGTGTAACATTTAAATACGGTTTTGAAATTTATAAATGTATTAATAATTGTGGTTTATTCTTATTAAATATAGTAGTTAATGTCACATTTTAACATACACTTCTACATATTTTTAATCTATACGCCTTCAAAACTTGTATTTAGGCTTTTTTCAGTTTCATTAGCCTTCTCTCAAAATATAGGGCTTTTCGGGAATTATTATTTATTTCTAGTAATCTAGAGTTTTATGGAACAAAAATGGACGGGAATAAATAAACAAAGCAAATTAAGAAATAAATTGCGTTCTGTTACAAGCTACACTTACAGAGATAAAAAGAAATAACTAAAAATAAGTAAGAAAAACGACGATAAAACTCATCAAAGACCGAAAAGGTTTCAACGACCAAACATGAGCAATGTAGCAGCGAAAAAGTTTAAACACCTATTAGAAAATGGTCACAAAAAGGCATTAAACTCTATACGAAAGTCCCAAATATAGATGTAGAGTATACACCAAAGGTCTTAAGATCTTAGTGTGTGAAGATCTTTAAGGCCAACATACTCCTTTTTTACAATCCTCTGCCACCAAGTCTGCTTTGGAATTTTTTAATTTTTTGTCACTCATCACTTACTAAGCATTTTTATATATGTAGAATATATTTTTGTTCTCCCTTATTTTGAACTTTGACCTTTGAAGTTGATTAGAATTTTTCTCTGACATAATACACCAGCTTCTTCCATTTTATCGATCTGCTCTAACTATATACACATATCTTAATCTAATTTTTCATTTTAACGTTATACTTATATTAGATATCTAAAAGTATTACTCTTCACAGGAAATTCATCACCCCATAATATTATTTTATTTATAGCAGAAACCCTTCTTCAAATCAATATTCTAGATATTTTCTTTTTCCCATTACCTTTATCTTCAATAGCCTGTTTGCAAAGTTACAGTTTGTGCTCTAATTCTAGTTCTTCATTACCTACAAACACCATATGATCAGTAAATACTTCTTGTATGAATACGTTTAATTTATTAAACTTTTCTCCTCATACCATGAAAAGAAAATTTAATACAACCCGTCAAATAAAATAAATAAATTATGCATAAGGTCTGAGTGAGTTGTTACTTCAGGAGCGGTAAACATCAAACAAAAGTGATCTTTTTTTTATGATTATTTATTGATTTAACGGTATTAATGATTATTTTTCGAAAGTCGTCTGCTATAAACCGGTTGTACTGCAGCTAATTAACTTGTACATTTTCCATTTATTTTTGGTACTAATTCCAGAATTCTAAAGTCTTGTACAGGTATAATGGGTTGCTATCATATCTGTTTGAAGTACTTTGGTAGTCTCCACAAAGTTTTTCCGCCTGCGATATAGTGCCTTAAGGTCAAGCAAGATATTTTTTTATAACGTATATTCAGCAATCTATTACTTATTACTATATTACTATTTTAATAATAAGCGTTTTTGAGATCCGAAATAAGAATTGACTTTGGAGACATCAGTCCAGTGACTAGACCTTTGGTATGGAACAAACATAACATTCCGATAATATAATTCATTAACATTAACATTCATTAAAATAGGACATCTGCGTTGGATAGGACATGTAGAACGAATGGAAGAAGGCGAAATACCAAACAAAATATTAAAACAGATGACAGTAGAACAAAAAACAAGAGGAAGACCGAAGCTGAGATACTTAGAACAAATAGAAAAGGATATAACAACCTTAAAAACAAAAAACTGGAGAAAAAAAGCACAAAACAGATCAGAATGGAGAAGAATCCTGGAACAGGCTAAGACCCAAAAAGGGTTGTCGAGCCAGTGATGATGATGATGAATATGATGTACATATTATACTTTACATTTACAAACGATAAATATATCTAAAATATACGCACAATTGCGGTGAGTTAGAACCCGTATTTAAAAATCATTGTTGAATTTTATCAAGCAAGTTTGTTGTTCAAGCATTTGGATGATTTTCTAGATGTTTTAGGTACCAAGCACTGCACTGAATTACCAGTTCACTGAGCGTAGGTATTTCTTGATCACAATAAATACCTTTGTTTGACACGAATCAAGGGGCGTCTGTTATGGAACGTAAGACTTTAGATTAAAATATTTCCATTATGGATAAGTTGGATTTTGTTGCCCTGAATCCCCATAGCTGGATCCCATAGGTCCAGACCGATTTAAGTATTATATTGTATACCAACGGTTTGTTACGAATGGACAACTTCGATGTTCTGCCAAGTATCCAATAATGTTTACGAAATTTTAAGTTTAACTTTTGGCGCTTTTTCCATATATGGGTTCTCCATGTCAAAGTTTTGTCCGGGTGTTATTGTCACACTTTCAGCTTATGGAATTGCTTTGTTATTTATTTCTATACTAAGGGATATTTTTTTAAAATAATATGTTATGGTTTAGATTCACTGCTTTTTATCTCTATCTCTTTGTCTACTTTTCTGTGTTCCTAATATGCCATTAAAGATATTTGGTAGCTGTTGCAGGATTATTATCTGTAACTAACATATGTAGAAGTGTTGTCTGCGAATGTTGTAGTCGTTATATTTTCATATGTTGGTATGTATAATATAGGGTAGATTTTTGATGTTTCTAATTCATACTTAACACGGTAATATCTTCATTTTAAATATGATTTTAGTAAAGTAAACATTGACTGTGGAATGTTTTTTTATTGGCTTTAGGGTAAATAGCCACACAGCCAGACACAAATTTTTAAAACAGGTATACAAGGATTACACAGGGATTACACTCTTCTCGCCCAGGGGCCGATCAGGGCGTTTTTATAAATGATAAAAGGTAGGCCTCGGACAGATAGGTATGCATACATTAAGGAAACACATCAGGAAGTAACAAAGGTGGTTATATTTGTATATTCGTTGTTCTGACGAAACACAGCAAACAATCGTAAATTTCTTTTTTGTCTAAAGCAAGAAGATACAGTATATTAAATGGGCTTTCAATGTTTTCAATGCTCATTAGATTGAGCTCTATATTTTAAACAATCAAAAAAAAATGTGGTCCATATTACCGATTTTATTACAGGCTTCGCAAAGATCACTCTCAAGTATATTTATTTTAAATAAATGTGCTGGATAACATGCGTGACCAAACTTCATTCTGCTGATAGTAGTTATACATGTTCGACAAGTAGTAACAAAGTAGTTATACTTTGTAATCGTACTCATTGTACCAAGGTTTTCTCTTTAATTTCGTTTCAAGTCTGGTGTAACATATTGGATTTGTAAAGCTGTACTCTTCCCATAAATAGGACCATTTCTTCATCATTCTCTGTTTTGCTTTGATTATTTGTTCGTATTAAGTGACGTAGTTTGGATGTTCCTCTAAAATTTGATTTATGACTATACTATTAAATGATGCTAACTCCGAATAAAGGGGTATATTCACATCACAGGAAACAAAGTAATCAAAGTAGTCAGTCTCTAACTTTGTTTGTGGTTTTAAGCTCACGTTTCTTAATCCATCACAAATAGGAGGAGAGTGTTTATGAATCCAAAAAGGCTTAGTTATGTCGTATTCGTTTAATTTATACATCCTGCTAATGAATGGTGAGTTTTTCTTTAGCGACTTAATAATCATTTTTTCAGCTAAAAATGATCTTCTCAGTTCTAAATGAGGTTCGATTGCTTCAGCTCTTAACGGTTCAACTGGTGTAGATTTCATTGCTCCCAGACATATTCTGAGTGATTT